GGTTCCGTTCCCGGCTCTGGGGGGAGAGCGGGAGCTAGTGGCTAGACGGGGGGCACTGGGAGTCAGGACGCCTGGGTTCCGTTCCCGGCTCTGGGGGGGGGGGGGGAGCGAGTGGTTAGACGGGGGGCACTGCGAGTCAGGACTCCTGGGTTCCGTTCCCGGCTCTGGGCAGGGGAGGAGAAGGGTCTAGGAGGCAGGTTGTTGGATATGACCCAGCAGTTAGGCCCAGGACCCCTGGGGCCAGTCCCGCTCGGGCTGGATGGAAGCGTCCAAGCCCCCGGCCTCCCCAGACAGCTGCAGGTTGACGTGTGCTTGGGTGCAGGTGACCCAGAGGAACCCACGGGGCTGATGTGTTACCAGATGGGCCCCAGCAGGGGCATGAATTGCACGTGGCCCAGCAGGACCGGCCCTGAGGCTAACACCACTTACACCCTCCACTACCAGAGCCTGAAGTTGTGAGTATAACCCCTGCCCGGGGGGGAGGGAGCCCAGGACCCCACCCACTGCTCAGCCAGCCTCAAGTGCCCCGAACATCTCCTCAGCTTTAACCCCCAGCTCTGGGAGGGGAGTGGGGTGCAGTGGCTAGAGCATGAGCTGGGAGCCAGGACTCCTGGGTTCTATTCCCGGCCCTGGGAGGGGTGGGGGGCCTCGAGGTTAGAGCAGTGGGAGGTCTGGGAGCCAGGACTCCTGGGCTGTCTTCCTGTCGGATGTGCCGACTCATCGGTTTATTCCCTGGGTTCATCTGCCAGCAAACGCAACCAGACGCGAAGTTCCCAGGCCCCCGCCGGACAGAGCTGGGTGGTGATTGGAAGAAGCAGCCTGACGCACAATGAGAACTATGCCGTGTGGGTGGAGGCTGGTGACGGGACCCAGATCACACCAAGGCTAACTCTGACCCCGCACGAGATAGGTAACCCAGAAGCAGCCCAGCTCCTCCCCTGCCCCTAGGAGCAAAGGGGGGGATTGGGAGATGGGGGAGAGGCTGTTGGGCCCCACTGGGAATTTGTGTTGATTTCTTCTAGATGTTTTTCATTTAAAATCCTCTAGACCTGGAGCAGCTGTTTCACAGCCAGGCTGGGTGCAGTGGTTAGATTGGGTGGGGGTGAGGCTGGGAGCCAGGACTCCTGGGTTCTATTCCCAGTTGTAGGGAGGGGGGGTCTAGTGGTTAGAGCAGGTGGGGGCTGGGTTCTATCCCAATTGTGGGAGGAGAGTGTGTCCCAGTGGTTAGACCTGGGAGCCAGGACTTTTGGGTCCTACTTTCCCTTTATCCACTGTGTTGGTTCCAGTGAAGCCGGATCCCCCTGTACTGAGCCTAGTGGACGTGACCCCTGTGGTCACTGTGACCTGGACAAACCCCCAATGGCCCCAGCATTTCTCCCTGGATCTGGCCTGCCACCTTCGCTACCGGGTGTCTGGGACCCCCAACTGGACCAGGGTGAGTCTGCGTGGCAGGATTGCAAAATGTGCGGAGGTGGGGGGGTGTTGAGAGACAGGGCTTCCTCTGGGATAGCAGCCTACTACTGCTGCTAGATAACAGAGCTCCTCCTTCAGCTCAAGTAATGGAGGGCTGCATTCTGGTGCTACAGAGTCCTGGGTTCAAATCCTGCCCATAACATAGCAGGGCCTGTTACACCTTCTGCTGACTGGGGGCAGCTGTAGAACGACAGGTGCTGATTCCTAGTTACGCTCCGGCCCATCTACCCCTTAAATTGGGATGCCCTGGCCGCTGCCGAATTCCTGCTGCATCGGAGTCTCGCTGGCTAGGGTGGAGCCGGCGTACAGGCCAAAGGTCACCGTGTCAGTTCAGGGGTCTACCCGTGGAGCATTAGACCCTGCTCCCCTTCCAGAGCTGGGGACAGAACCCAGGAGTCCTGACTCCCAGCCCCTGCTCTGACCACTGGACCCCGCTCCCCTCCCAGCCCTCTCCCCTGCGAGATGGGGCCCCAGAGCCCTGGGGCCCCATCTCTCTCTCTGTGCCGTTCTCCCTGGCAGGTTCATGAGGAGGATGTTGAGCCCAACATCTACGAGTTCTCCAGCCTGGAGCCTTTCACGGCCTATGAGGTGCAGGCTCGCTGCATCCCTGGGGACCGGAAGGGCTTCTGGAGCGACTGGAGCCCGTCCCAGACCTTCCAGACCCCCGAGGCTGGTACGCATGGGCCTGAGCCAACCGGAGCAAAACGCCTGCCCTGCGCGGGAGGGTCACACGTGGTGTAGTCAGTCAGCAACAGTCAGGACTCCTGGGTTCTATCCCAGCTCTGGGATGGGGTGGGGTGGGGGATCTAGTGGCTGGAGCAGGGGGCTGGAAGTCAGGACTCCGGGGTTCTGTTCCCAGCCCTGGAAAAGGTCTCCCAGCAATGCTAAATGCAAAGGCCTGTCCTGCCCCGGGCAGTCAGGGGAACACCCCTCTTGGGAAAGGGGCCCGGTGCTTTCCTGGCTCCGGAGAGCTCCTGTCGGGCCCTGTACACTCTCCCTGCCCTGGAGTGACCCCAGTTTCGTCTCGGATGCCCCGGCCCCTCTCTGTTGCCCTTAGCCCCGCTGGGCCTGGTGGACGTGTGGCGAGTGGCCAGCCCCCCTGAGTCCGGAGAGCCCAGCCTGCTGCTGCTGTGGAAGGTGAGACCTGCGCGGGCCCATCACTGCGGAAACAAAGGGGTGGAGTACAGCAGAATCTTCCCATTGGTGCCGGAGGTCCCAGCCGATTGGATAAACTCCGCTGTCACATGACTAGGCGCGTGCCCCCCGGTGCCCTGGCCAAATTCTGATTGGCTTTCCCTCCTGGACACGCCCGTAGCCTCCACTTCCTGTCCTAAACCGATGAGCCGTGTGTCCATGCAGCTGCTAAGCAGTGGCCACGTTCCACCCCAGAGGTGGCTGCATTGCAGAGGTGGCCCAGGTTATTCCCAGGCACCGGGGACCTAGCGTTGGCAAGCACAAGGGGCGACCCCATCTGGAGGGCGGGGGGGTGGTGGGGGTGGGATACTCATCCATTTGCATTAACCCTTTGCTGGATTCCCGACCAGCCGCTCAATTCTGAAGCAGCCAGGGGAGTCATTCGGAGCTACAGCCTGGCCTTCCGGAACGGCGGCAACAGCTCCGTGAGCCTGGAGGCCGGCTGCTGCAACGTGAGCCTCCCCTCCAGAACCACCCACGTCTGGATCTCGGCAAACAACCACGTCGGGCGGACGCAGCCTGCCAACCTCAGCTTGGAGCGGCAGGGTACGACCGCGTGGGGGCCCGTTCCCTGCCCACTGAGCCAGACTGTCCCCTGGGAGCCAGCGCCCCCTAGAGGGGAAAGGCCCTGTGCCCCATTCCCTGCCCCCCCGCAGCCAGCCAGTGCCCCCACCCTGGGCTGAATCAGGGCCGGCGCCCCCTAGAGGGGAAAGGCCCCGAGTCCTATTCCTGCAGCATCCCTAACCTGGCGCAGGGGGGACCCAGAGAACGCCCAGTGATGGATCCTGTGGCTTCCCCCAGATCTGCCTGCCCCGGCGGGGGTCCGGGCTGCGGCCGTGCACGGGCAGGATCTCCTCGTTACCTGGGAGCCCAGCAAGGACCCTCTGGAAGGGGAGCCCATGGAGTATCTGGTGGAGTGGGCCGAGGAGTGCAGCAGCTCAAAGGCGGCATCCCTGGACTGGGTGCGCAGGCCGGCTGGCACCCACAGTGCCCTGCTGACAGGTACGGGGGGAGCCCGGCTACAGAGGCCCCTGCATGCCACAGCATGGGGCCAGGGGGCTGCTTCACCCTGCCCCACCCCTGACACTCTGCTGGGAAAACTCAGAGCCTGGGCAACTGCCAGGCCCTTTGCACGTGTGAGTGAGGTCTAGTGGTTAGAGCAGAGGGGGGCTGGGAGTCAGGACGCCTGGGTTCTACCTCTAGCTGTGGGTGGGGAGTGGGGTCTAATGGTTAGAGCAGGGGGGGCTGGGAGCCAGGACTCCTGGGTTCTATCTCTGGCTGTGGGTGGGGAGTGGGGTCTAATGATTTGAGTAGGGGGGGCTGGGAGCCAAGACTCCTGGGTTCTATCTCTGGCTGTGGGTGGTGAGTGGGGGCTAGTGGTTAGAGCAGGGGGGGCTGGGAGTCAGGACTCCTGGGTTCTATCTCTGGCTGTGGGTGGGGAGTGGGGTCTAGTGGTTAGAGCAGGGGGGGCTGGGAGCCAAGACTCCTGGGTTCTATCTCTGGCTGTGGGTGGGGAGTGGGGTCTAGT